GCTTTGGATGTTACTGTGCGTGTCCATATACAGATGAAAAAAATCCAGTGGAGAGACAAATTGATGGTGGGAAAGAGTGGAGGGAATGAATGCAGGCAGGAATACTTTGAGAAGAGGAATGAGTAGGGAATCCAAGCCATGCAGCCTCATTCAGCAAAGTCAGGATTCTAACTCAAGCCTGTCTGATTCACACACCATGCTCATTCCTAGGAGCCTCTTTCCCTCACCCGTGAGTGTCCAACTCCCAGGGTCCAGTGCACTAAATCCTTTACCACCATCTCCTCTAAAGACACAAGTTTTATAGTCTTCCCATTTCCATCTGGGTTCTGCATCTACCCAAGGAACTGGAGGAGAAAATAAGCAAACTGAAGAAAATTAAATCTGACCTATTTTATGCATTCTATATAAATGCATGAAATAGATTATGTTTGACAGTGGTAAACAGAGAACCCAAAATAATCCAATTTATCACTTTAATTATATATGCTTTTCTTCCTCAATCTCCAGCCAAAAATGAGCCTCCAGTCATTTTCAGTTCCTTCTGTGGAGCCATTCCCTGATTTCTAAAGCTGTTTTTGATAACCACAGACTTCCAGTCAAGGATGTTTTATCTGAAGCATACTGAAAACATAACGTGCTGCCTACGATGGCACATGCGAGGAGGAATGGGGTGGGTACGTAGGAAATTGAAAGTAAGGAAGTAGAGGGAGTGTGGAGTTCTGATTCAAAGGAACAGCATGGATTAAACTGATGTCCCTCCAAAGAAATTGATATTCTCCTACTGCCACGAAGGAAAGTAATAGGTGCTGAGTTATTTGGATACTAAGCTAATTCAGAGTCAACCAACCACCTTTAGTAAAGTAACCTTACCCTAAAATCTACTTATTCATGAATAAGAGAGGGTAAGAGGACCTGAAAGAGGGCAGGTGAGAAGGCAGTTAGCAGCCATCACACTGCAGGGAGAAGGGGACCTCTGCCTTATTGCAGTCTCCATCTCACACATATGTGTCGAACACCTGCTTCCAGGCACTGAGGGTACAGCAAAGAGCAAGACAGAAATGGCCCTTGCCCTCAGAAAGCTTGCAGTCTCTTGGGGGAATGCACACAAGAGGCAATCACAGTGCCAGGGAAAAGTGCTAAATCCTCAGACAGGGGATGTATGTGCACCTAACTCAGCCTGGGTGGGGAATGGTGGTCAGGAAAATGTTTCTGCAGGAACGGTTAAATAAACTGGTTTTTTTAATTTGTTTGTTTGTTTGTTTGTTTTTTGAGATGGTCTCGCTCTGTTGCCCAGGCTGTAGTGCAGTGGCACGATCTCAGCTCACTGCAAGCTCTGCCTCCTGAATTCACGCCATTCTCCTGCCTCAGCCTCCTGAGTAGCTGGGACTACAGACACCCGCCATCACGCCTGGCTAATTTTCCTTTTTTTTTTTTTTTTTTTTTTTGTATTTTTAGTAGAGACAAGGTTTCAACATGTTAGCCAGGGTGGTCTCAATCTCCTGACCTCGTGATCCGCCCGCCTCAGCCTCCCAAAGTGCTGGGATTACAGGCGTGAGCCACTGTGCCTGGCATAAACTTTTAAATCTAAGACTTGACCGAGATTTAGCCAGACTGGCCGTGAGGGCAGGCAGTCAGGAGATAATAAACAAGAAAAACATAAAGCACATGTGTGTGCCCACAAATACACAGTATCTATTATCTTAAAGGGTCATGTGAATGGGAACATTGTTGCTGCTTTATTTTGCACTTTGGGGAAAATCAGAGTCATGACAAGCTGTCTCAGACTCACAATCAGGGTTAGTGGTGCTGTTGGATAATGTAGGAAACAGAAAAGGACCAGGTTGGGAGGTCGAGGCTGGGTTCAGCCTTGACAGGTTGAGTAAAAGGAGCTTCTGAGACCTCCACATGGAGCTCTCAGGTAAGCAGTCAGATACTTATATCTGAAACTCAGGCTTATGGCTTGGGCTAGAAAGATACATTTGGGATTTATTGCATCAGAGGTAGCAAGTTAAACCATGGCACAGATGAGCATCCTCAGTGAGAGAAATACTCTCACTAAAAGGGAAAGTGAAAAGAGAAAAGGGCATGGGGCCAGGGGATGAAGAACTTCTTCACAGCCGCTAGAGGAGGGAGGCTGAGCCTGCGGAGAAACACGGGAAGGTGTTACTGGGAGAGATGGTAGGAAAACCAGGACACAGTTGCTTCACAGTGGTTTAAAATGGAGGGAGTAACCCACAGTAATGACATTAGCATGTACCCAAACAAAATGAGGACAAAACCCATCCATTGGATGGGCCAGAGATGTGAAGGAATCACATCTGAAGCCAAATTGGAATGGGTTGAAGATGAGTGAGGAGTAAGCTAACACACACCAGTGCTTGCCAAAATCTACTGCTTTGTGAAACTTATAGAAAATTATATCTCAGTGGACATTGGCCAGTTGCACAAGGCTGCTCCCAGCTGGAAGTGCAGTCCCACACAGATGCTCTGAGGGCTAAGGAAATCAATATTTTATAACACCTATAGCCATTTGAGATACACCAATGTGTCTCAGAATACCAACTGGTAAGGTCTGCTATAGACCACTTTCTCAACTAGAGTGCCTATGAATTGGGGCTCCCAGGGGGGTGTGGAATCAAGGTGAGCTTGCTGGCTTGGTTTGGTTTCGTTAAGAGTTTTTAAGACCTTAGCATCTTTCAGAAGCATCTATGGAAAAAATCCAGTTGAGATGGGGGGACTGGATTCATGAGAGAGAAAAGGGTAGTATAGCATTGGTGGTATAAGGCTCCTCAGAAGATACAAAAGAATCCACTTTCAGATGAAGGGTCAAATGTACAAGATATAGTGTGTGCAAAAGTGTAATTCTCCCCACATTACTAGAAATTGAATGTCGTTATTACCATGTTACAAATTTAGAACCTGAAGCTTAGTGAGATTAAGTCACTGCCCCAGGTTCCTTGCCTAGTAAGCTGCATAGCCAGGACTATAACCTGTATTTCTCTGACTCCAAAATTCCTAACAATTATACTTAGGTACTAGGCCTGGAGACACAAAGATGAGCTAGATTCAGTTCTTGGCTTTGAAGAAGTCATATACTAAAAGTATAGAGAGACACTAAAATAAATATAACACAGTGTGATAAATAGAATAATGGAAACATGGGGGAAAATAGGAACCACGAAAACTACACCCAAGTATATGCCCATCACTTCCTGAACTCATGGAGGCAGGGGTGGACTAGACATACAGCAAGGGCTAAAAAGAAATACAAATACCTGGATGGATGGATGGATGGATGGATGGATGGATGGATGGATGGATGAATGGATGGATGGATGGATGGTGATGGATGGATGGATGGATAGATAGATAGAGAATAATAGTACGAATAAAGATTCCCTCCTTAGGGCAAGTGTTGTTCATGTGGCCACAAGAGGTCGTTGCAGACCTGACACAAAAGGTTTTTTCCACTGGCGCTGCCATGCTCTCTCCAGTAGCTTTCCAGAAGGAAGGGGTAAGGATGGAGAGAGGAAATGAGGGTGGTGACCAGATGCCCCATAGCATTTTCTGCCCTCTGTAGGACAGGCCCAGAGCTTCATGCCCAGTCTGGCTCCATCTTCACCCGACTCCTGGTCATTTCCACTCCTGTCTTAAATTCTAGGCTTTTGATGTTTCTCCAATGTGTTCTGTCTTTCAGACCTAACTCAGAAATGGTCTCAGGTTTCTCCATAGGCCTGTGGTTCCAGCTATGGATGAGACTCCAATCGCAGCAGACTTTCTGGCTGAGTGCCTTTGCACAAAGTACTTATCTTTCTGGGCTTCACTCAAAATACTAAGGTTGAGAGGAAGGCTCTAGTAGTTAAGGCTTCCTGGCCCACACTTCTTACAATAGCTCACCTTCACCGAGCACGTCCTACTCACGGGCATTGGTCTAAGTCTGCAGTATCCAAGGAGGCAGACACTTGTCACATGGAGCTGTTTAAATTTTTTAAAATTTCAACTAAAGTAAAAACAATTAAAACTTCAGTTTCTCCATCTCATGAGTCGATTTCAAATGCTTAATAGCTCTACGTGGCCACCAAACTGGACAGCCCAGAAAACATTTCGTCATCACTGAAAGTTCTATTAGATCTTGCTGTCTGAGTGCGTCTCATGTTTTTAATCTTGTTTAACCTTCATAACAACCCTATGAAGCAGGTATAATTATTTATCCACTTTAAAGATAAGGACCCTGAGGAACAGACTGGTTAAAAACTTACCCAGGGTCTCTCACCAGATTCGTATCCAGAATGAGGATTCAAGCGCAGATATTGGGCTCCAGGGCCTACCATGCAGAGCTGTCCCCCTACCCCAAGCTCTCCTGCTCTCCCCTCTCACCTCTGGGAGCTGCAATGCCTTATCCTATTCCCCAACGGCCATTGTCCCTGACTAATGCCGCCCTGACAACTGACTCTGAGCGATGAGAGCACCTGGGCCTGGAGCCTCTTCTGGCTCCTCTTCTGGATCCTCATCCACACTCTATTTTCCTCCCACCTCCTTTTAGCCCCTGCATTCCCTTAGAGTATTAGTGTTAGTATCATGGGTTTTAATATCTCCGCTAACCCATCCCATTATCAGTTCAAGGTCAGCCTGAGTCCTGGAAGATTCCTAACCTGGGCAGCAGCCCTGTTGCTGCTCCCCGAGGGTCACCTTCATCCCCAAGGGAATGACATGCAGCCAGCTCAGCTCAGAGAGCTGGTTTCACCAATACCTCTGAAGGCGCAACAGCATCTCACTCTGCAAGGGAAGTGTGAAAGGTCAGATGCAGTTCACGCTCTCATGCCGCTAGAACCCAGTGAAAGCAGAAGTTGCCAGGGCAGAGGCGTCAACCATTCTGTGTGCAAACCACCGTAGGTGTTTGCAAGCTAGACCACTTGCGGTTATCCCCTCTCTCTCCTGCCCCAGTTGCTGCCCTGCAGGGCCTCCACACAACCACAGGACCTGCAGCTGAACGAAGCTGGAGACAACTCAGGAGATCTGTTGGAAAGAGAATGATAGAGGAAAATGTATGAATGTTGCCATCTTTAGGTGAGTGGACAAGAGATTTACTTCCTACTTTACTTCCTCACTACTTTTACCCTTTCCTAAACAACTGAGTCACCAAAAAAAAAAAAAAAAAATGCCTGGCAGTGTCAAATTAGTTTCCCACTTCCACTGAATCAGATAATCTAGGGCAAGAAAACTTAGAAAATTCTCTCTCTCCATCCCTGGCCTCAGCAATAAGCACATCAAATTCCATCAAATTCCATGTGTAGAACTTCTCACTTAAAGATTTCCAGGAATAACTTTACCGTAAGAAAATGCTTAGCCGGGCGTGGTGGCTCATGCCTGTAATCTCAGCTACTTGGGAGGCAGAGGCAGGAAAATCACTTGAACCCGGGAGGCAGAGGTTGCAGTGAGCCAAGATTACACTCCAGCCTGGGCAACAGAGAGAGACTCCTTCTAAATAATAAAGAGAAAGAAAGAGAGAGAGAGAGAGAGAAAGAGAGAAAGAAGAGAAAGAAAGAAAGAAAGAAAGAAAATGCTTCCTAGTATTTTGCCTGACTCCGTGTTTCACCGCAAACTCTCATGTTCTGTCCACAGAGGAGATGGGAATGTGGGACCTCTTTCTCTGTTGAGGGAACATTGAATAATTTCCAGTTTGTATCTATTACAAATGACGCTGCTATGAGCACTCGTGTGCATGTTTTTTGATGCCTGTATGTATACATTTCTGTTCAACATCTACCCAAGAGTGAAAATGCTGAACCATCAGGGATCCTTGTGTTTAGTTTTGGTAGATTCTGCCAAGCCATTTTCTAGTGACTGTACCATTTATATTCCCACTGGTGGTATACAAGAGTTCTAGTTTCTTCACATCCTCACCAATACTCAGGAGAGGATTGCATGGGGCAGGTCACTGGGCTCCCCCAGACCCAGCTCAGTCTCAGCCGGTATCACTCCCTTATTCTTACGGAAGGTGTAGTGGTATCTTACTGTGGTTTAAATTTGCGTTCCCCCAGTGATTTATGATATCAAGCTCCTTGTGCTATGTTGATTTGACACGTGGATATCTGCTTCTGTGAAGTACCTATCCAATTATTTTTGCCCATTTTTCTAGTATTTGTCTGTCTTTTTCTTATTGACTTGCAGAAATTCTTATATTTCTTATGTGGGCCCTTTGTCAGTCGCATGTATTTAAACTATCTCATCACACCACAACTTGTCTATTCCCTTTCTTAATGGTGTCTTTTAAGGAAGAGTTCTTCTCAAAATAATACCTGACAGTCTTAAAAGCCTCAGATTCCGAAGCTCCATCTGTGTTCTACTCCATACTCATCGATGCTTGATTCCTTCTTGAACTGAGGATCCTGTGAACTGTCCTCAGGGCTCCACTTCTCCATCTCATTGCAGCGTCCACAAACATTTACCGCTGGAGATAGGAGCGCCTCGGAAGCTGGGAGGTCGCTTGGGAGTCAAGGGGTGGGTGATCTTAGTTTTCCAGTGCTGCGCTGCCTCCCAAGCTGAATGATGCTGAGGACAAGCAAATTCGGGCCGTCTCTGGATCTTTCTAGTGGAGGTGTCCCGTAACCATGTTCCATCCTAGTTCCCTGGCATAGGCTTGTTGAAGCCACAGAAAATGTCAGGGATTTATTAGTGACTTACTGACTCCTTCAGGTTTAGTGTTCAAGAAAATTTATTCATGTAATACTTCTTCAGCCAAAGAAGAAATACCAATTAGAGCTTTGTAAGTTTCTTTCCCACTTCCTATTTCAACTATCAAGCTATAGCACCACCCAGCTTAGGTCACTCACCCACCTTCGATCCTGAGGCCTGGCTGCTCTCTGCCAGCTTCGCCCAGCCTGTTTCTGACCTGTGTTCCCTCCTCTGTGCCAGGACAGGCCCCATGCTGCTCTGGACGGCTGTGCTGCTCTTTGGTAAGTCAACCAGCTTGGGCATCCCCTCCTAGAGCACTAAGGACCATAAGTCATCCCTGAGACACCTTTTCCAATTCCAGTGGGTTTGTGGCCGGAGCTCAAGACAGGTGCGTGCACCTGGGCATGCTTGGGAGAGATGGGCACTGGGGTAGGAGAAACTCCTCAGTGTTTCCTATCCCATTGTCCTGGGTCCTTGGCAGGGCAGCCCTTTGATACGTCAGAGAGAGGGGAGGCAGAAAATCACATTACAAGGTCCCCTAACTTCCCAATGACATTTCTACCTTGTGATATCAGGTTAAAATACTAATAATAGTTGTCTCAAAAGGAAATTGAAGTTACAGAAGGGAAAGAGGCTGCTGGGGGCAACACGGCAGGAGTCAGGGAAATGAGGGATAACAGTCCCAGACGTTTTGCTCAGCAATGGGAGGTGGAATTTTGCAGGGTGACATATTTTTATGGAGCCTCAGCATTTTCTTAGAACCACTTAACAATGATCAGACCTCTCACCTGGTTGAAAGGCCTGTGCCCTGAGTAACCAAAGCCCTTTTCAAATTGACCGTCTCTCTTCCGCATACATCTTCTCTCTGTTGGACGCTGTTTCAGACCCATGGGGCTGGTCTGAAGAATCGGCTTCATTATCTGATCCATGCCTCTCTCTCTTCTCTCCATTCCTCCTCATGCAGGTTACTTGTAACTGAGGGAGCTGGTCTAAGGGTGGAGGATTGCACGAGGAGGGTGACTGGGCTCCCCCAGACCCAGCTCAGTCTCAGCCAGTATCACCCCCCTTATACCTAAAAGAAATAATTTGTGCATGTATTTTGTTTCACTTTACAGTTTCCAAGTGGACCTACTTTTTAATTCTTGGTCCCAATAGCTTGTTTGCTGTTTGTTTTCATTGAACTGGAAAAGCAAAACTGTTCCTAAATATAACCTCTTCCTGGACAGAGTTTGTGAGAATTTGACCCTGTGAGGAAAATGCCTGTTCCACTCAATGTTCCTTCTCCAGCGTAGCGTTTTACTCTGTGTGTTTTATGAATGGCCATTTGGACCAATGGAAAGGTCTAATGCTCACACTGAGGCAGTGCCTGGATATACTCCAGGCACGAGACTCACAGGAGCAAATGGCACTACCTTGTAAAAGGAACAGCCCTTGGAGTTGTCTAGATACAGTCTGAGAGTGTTCCAGCTTGGAACCCAGGACAAGGATGACAGACAGCAAAGGAGGAGAGGAAGGGAGTCAGTGACGGGCTGACCGGTGCACAGTGTAATGGAGAACCCAGCACCAGCACATTTGGTCCCATGTGATGATCAGGGACCCCAGAAAAACAGCCTAAATCACAGGCCCTGCGGCTGGGTGTGTAGAAACATGTATCATGTAGAGCTGCTGTTTCCTCTCTCAAGAGCAGGGTGTGGTCATAATAAATTGGTGGCTATTACTATTATTGGCTGTCAGGACTCCAGCAGGAAAGGAACCCTGACATTGAGCATGCTGGGACCTGGCTGAACGTGAAATATGTACTTAAAGTTTGGGAAATTAAGCTTAATTTTCTTCTGAGCTGAACATTAGCCAACTTCCCTCCTACCACTGGAGCCTGCTCCCTGCATACTCCCATAGCGTCCATAGGAGGTGTCATGGGGTCCCACACAGCGCTCCCAGCAATGTGACTGCTGCGGCTTGGCACAGCACCCTGTTCCACAGTGGTAGAGCTCAGTGGTGACAGAGTTCTTCATAGTGAGCTGAAATCTGCCTCCCTGATCCCTCTAGTTTCCATTTCTGTCCTATAAAGTAACTCAGAATAAGTCGCTCCCTTCTTTTAAGCTTAGCCCACCAAGTATTTTGTGTCTCTCCTCTGTTGTATCTTTCCCAGATAAATATCTCCCGATCCCTCAGAAACTCTAAGAGGAAATTATCCTGCTCCTAGAGTTGGCAGGGGCTGCTGCCTTCATTTTTTGGAACTCTATTATGGAACTTGGTTTGACAGTAGCTCTCGGCCACCTCATTATACTGTCACCTCATCTTTGGCCTATATGGCTGATGGAGGTCCCTGGGCCCTCATTGCGGAAACTGCTGTGAGCAGGTGTCACCCACTGTGTATGTTCCCAGTTGGCTGCTGTTTTGATTGCAGAAAGCAAGCTTGTAATCCCACCTCCAAGATCTTGCAGTACCATGGGCAGCAAGTCATCGGGATTTGGGGGCATGAGCTCATTTTAAGTGCATCTATGCTTCCTGGGTGCCTTCTGTCTTGTTTTTGGCTTCAGTGGCCTCAACCCTGCTTGTTTAGCACTTTGTAGCTGCAAAATTGTTTTCCAGTGAGGAGGGGAAGGGAAGGAAGACATTACTACGGAGTAAGGTCTCTATCACTCTGAGGTCAGGCCGCCTTTCTGCTTTCAGTTAGTGTAGTAACCACTTTCCCAGGCAGTGGGTCAATATAACCTTCACAACTACACTGTAAGAAAAAAAAAATGACTATTATCATTTCTATTCTGTGATATGACAGAACGAGATATTGAAGGCTCTTGGAATTTAGACAACTTGTTCAAGGTCATATAGAAAGAGTCACATTCATGACTCAAGTCCAGGTCATCTGATTCCAAATCCTGCATGCTTTCCACTGCACCAAGCTCATAGATGGGGGTTGGGGTGGAAATGGAGGGATGATGAGGAAGAGACTCATTGTTCTGCACACTCTTGAGAACTTATGACTGAGCTGACCCTGAGCTGGATAGAGAATAGAGCTGAAAGATTCCATCTGTGTCCAAAGTATTGTAGAAAACAAAGATGACACCATGTGACAGAGCCAAACATCTGCTCTTAGAGGGTTTTCACCCAGCCCTCCCAAGGCCATTCTTGCATTTTCTTGGTGTTACGCAAAATACCTAGGACATGTCAGCAATGAAGGACACAAATAAATGTATGAGGATTGGCTGGACTGACTGCACTCAGCCCTACATTCATTCATTGTTTCACACCTTGCCCCAAAGTCCGGAAGATTCTTCACTGCTTCATATCCAGCTGTGACCTTCAATTTCGAGTCTTCCATTACTTGGGTTATTCAAACCTACCTAACCATATCTGTCATCATTTTGTGAGTTGGCCTCTCTTCCCAGGTTACCTATTCTCACACCACTCATTTAAAAGGATGAATGCAGCACATCCAAGATGCAAGCATGATGTGGGATGCATCCAGTTTATTTGTAGTTCTCTTATTCATCTGTGCTGCCTGACAATGTCTCACATCCTTTGATGATTACTCTTTCAGGGGACTTGGCCTCCTCAGTCTGATCACTTCTGTACCCTTTTCACCAGAGTTCTGTGGACAGATGGGACCACAAGAATCAGGCCCTGCCCTTGCTATATGGGTTCTCTGGCACATTCGTGCAAGAGTCTAGTCCTGTGTTTTCTACTTTTTGCTTCTCACCTCATACAACTGGATGCAAAGGAAAGCATTCGTGCATTTATTCAGCAGATGCTTACTGAACACAGACTGTGTTCCAGGCACAGGTCCTAGGCATAGAAAATATAGCAATGAGTAAGATAGGCAGAGTCCCTGCTAATGTGGAGCTTACATTCTAGACAGACAGACAGGTGATAACATGTAAGCAATTTAATGAATAAGATAAATTCAAATAGTGATAAGTGCTTTGATGATAATACAATGGGGCATTGTTTTAGTGACTGGGGAAAATTCTTCTGATTGGAGTCTCAGGGAAGACGTGTTTGAGAAGGCAATATTTGAACTGAGATAGAGCAAAGAGTTCTAGGGAGTAGGTCCACCATAAACATTGAGTAGTCAAGTGGCTGACTGGTTGGGTGGTTGAATAATTGAATGGTTAGGTTGTTGGATGATGGGATGGCTGGGTGGCTGGGTGGTTGGGTGGCTATGTAGTTGGATGGTTGGATGTCTGATGGCTGGGTTGCTTGGTGGTTGAGTGGCTATGTGGCTGGATGGTTGGATGGTTGGGTGGATGGGTGGATGGGTGGTTTGGTGGCTGGGTGGTTGGGTGGTTGAATAGTTGGATGGTTGGGTTGCTGGATGATGGGATGGCTGGGTGGCTGGATGGTTGGATGGTTGAGTGGATGGGTGGATGGGTGGTTTGGTGGCTGGGTGGTTGGGTGGTTGAATAGTTGGATGATTGGGTTGTTGGATGATAGGATGGCTGGGTGACTGGATGGTTGGATGGTTGGGTGGATGGGTGGATGGGCGGTTTGGTGGCTGGGTGGTTGGATGGTTGAACAGTTGGATGGTTGGGTTGTTGGATGATGGGATGGCTGGGTGGCTGGGTGGTTGGGTGGCTGTGTAGTTGGATGGTTGGATGGCTGATGGCTGGGTTGCTTGGCGGTTGAGTGGCTATGTGGTTGGATGGTTGGATGGTTGGGTGGATGGGTGGATGGGCGGTTTGGTGGCTGGGTGGTTGGTTGAATGGGTGTAAGTCCCAATTGCTGAAGTGACAGGCCTCCTTGTCAGAAAGCTCTTTTTGCTACTTAACCTAATTATATTACTTTGTTATCTTGCAGTTCCCTGTGTTGGGAAAACTGGTAAGTTGTGTCCATGTCTCTTCTAATTCAAAGTATGTCTATGGGCCACAACTTACTGGATGGGAACAGGACAGTGCCATGGGATCCCCCAGAAACATCTGCAGAGCAGCACCAGACGAGGCCCCTTCCTCAGGTGTCTTGGCCAGTTCCCAGGAAAAGGAGTAACCTGGAACTCCACTAGTCTAAGGCCGAGGGTAGCCCCAAGGTGACCCAAGCCTCAGCAGTGGGGCTCTAGGCCTCTATCCTATACCCTTAAAAGTGGCTATGGCCTCTGTCTTCTCTCCATGTGGTTCTGGAGCTCTTATATTCTCAACTCAACAAGACTGGGACTCCCTTCCTTCCTTTTATGTTCAGAGAAGCAGGTACATTTGTCTGCTGATCAGCCTTCCTTCCTTCCTCAGATCCCCTTCCCTCCAGCCCATTCGGTGACACTGACCTCCATGGAGCTTTCTGTCAAACAGGAAAAAATTCTGATCTATGAAATCTTGACCTCCAAGGACATACCCTGTGATTCCAGGGGGAGATAATTCAAACCAATACTTAGTGCTGTTAGGAAAAGCAGTAGTGGAAGCAAGGCTTGCCATTCAGTAATGCGGTAAGCATCATTTCTTCCAGGGTGAGGAGAGTGGGTCCTAAGGATCCACAAGATCTAGACAAGAGCAGGATATGCTGAGGCTCCCTAACAGTTACTCTTCATTAGTCTCAAGCCATCAGGATGGCTCAGAAGGCTGTCTGGGAATGGGGGTGTCTGGCTTATCAAAGATATGATACAGCCTGGGGACAGATACAGACTGAGGACAGGCTCAGCCTGCCCTGCAGGCAATGATGCTGCTGCCCTGCAGGTAATAGTGGATCCCTGGGAGCTCTTCTCCTGCTCACATCAGGGCACAGAATGCATTTTAGGAATAGAGACAGAGAGAACAAATCCCTTCCATGAGAGTGGTGGAAGATGAAATGCCCTGCTGAGGTAGAGATGGAGGCTGGGCCTGGAGAAGCCCAATGAGGAAGGCAGAAGGGACAGAGCTCAGGCTGTGGCACCTCCAACACTCCCCACCAACTGCTTTCTGGTGAACACAGATGCTGCTATTAACAGAAGTGAAGGTTGCAGAAAGTGTCACATTAGGTAGCCAGAGGAGGAGAAGCCAATCTAGGCTGGAGGGAATTGAATCAGGAGGAATAACGCAAGACAATGAACAGAATGAATGCAATTAAGCCAAGCTTGGCAAGGCAGACAGGAAAGTGCAATATAAAGGAAGACAAGGAGGGTGGGTGGGAGGAAAGCCAGAGAGAAGACACAGGGAGAGGAGAGAAGGGGAGGGGAGGAGAAAGGAATAAAGAGAAAGAGGGAAGAGGAAGGAGAGAAGAAGGAAAGGAAGGAGAAGGAGTAAAAGAAGTCCAGGTCCTGCCCTTCTCTGGTCGGCATGAAAGACTGGAGACAGTGACACTGCACTGGTGCCATCCAAGGGCCTCCATCCCCAGAGGGAGGCCTTAGGCTGGGGGACAGAGAGAGAGAAGTGACCGATGGGACCTGCAACTCCAGGGCTGCCCTGTTCCTCTGTCTCGCAGCCTGGCTGTACCTCCAAGCCTGGCCAAACCCTGTGTTTGAAGGAGATGCCCTGACTCTGCAATGTCAGGGGTGGAAGAATACACCACTGTCTCAGGTGAAGTTCTACAGAGATGGAAAATTCCTTCATTTCTCTGAGGAGAGCCAGACTCTGTCCATGGGAGCAGCAACAGGGCAGAGCCGTGGCCAGTACAGCTGCACTGGGCAGGTGATGTATATTCCACAGATATTCACACTAACTTCAGAGACTGCCATGGTTCAAGTCCAAGGTGAGTCACCAGCTTGGGAGTTTGTGGGGCAGGAGGTGCCACTCAAGGATCCCGTCTCTAGAGGCCAGTAGCTCTCTGGACAGGACCCCCGTCTCTGGCTGCCCCTCATGCTGGGCCCATGAATGGGGCCCCGAGGTTTCCCAAGATGTTGTCTCAATACCCCCCTCTCCCCACTGTGGGGCACATATGGAGCCAGGGGAAGGAGTGGGGAGATTCCTGGAACGGGGGCACTGGGAAGAGCCAGGCTCACCCTTCCCCTCTGTGGACTAGAGGACCTCGAAGGGCCCCTCTGCCTCTGACTTCTAAGATTCCAGAAGGACCTGGCTGTGTGGGAGTCATTTCAGAGCTTGTAGATGAGGACGGGAGGACAGGTCCTGGGGATCAAACTGCCTCCCATCGGTGTCCCCAGGCTGCAGCCCGGGATGAGTAGAAGCTCAGGCCTCAGCCTCCTGGGGCTTCATCATCCGGGACTCCCCTCCTGAGCCCTGGGCCTGCATCTCCCCAGAGCTGTTCCCACCTCCTGTGCTGAGTGCTGCCCCCTCTCCTGAGCCCCGAGAGGGTAGCCTGGTGACCCTGAGATGTCAGACAAAGCTGCATCCCCTGAGGTCAGCCTTGAGGCTCCTTTTCTCCTTCTACAAGGACAGCCACACCTTGCAGGACAGGGGCCCTCACCCAGAACTCTGCATCCCAGGAGTCAAGGAGGGAGACTCTGGGCTTTACTGGTGTGAGGTGGCCACCGAGGGTGGCCAGGTCCAGAAGCAGAGCCCCCAGCTGGAGGTCAGAGTGCAGGGTAAGTGTGCGAGAGAGTGGAGACACCCCCAGGGACCTGGGCATCAGGCAATGGGATCCCCTGGGGGGAAAGGAGTTGGGGAAAGGTCCCCAGGAGAGGAGGGAGCCAGGGTCCTGGGTGGTCAGGCTGAGCCTCCCACCCCACGTGCATCCCAGCTCCTGTGTCCCGTCCTGTGCTCACTCTGCACCACGGACCCACTGACCCTGCTGTGGGGGACATGGTGCAGCTCCTCTGTGAGGCCCAGAGGGGCTCCCCTCCAGTCCTGTACTTGTTCTACCTTGATGAGAAGATTGTGGGGAACCACTCAGCTCCCTGTGGTGGAAACGCCTCCCTCCTCTTCCCAGTGAAGTCAGAGCAGGATGCTGGAAACTACTCCTGCGAGGCTGAGAACGGTGTCTCCAGAGAGAGGAGTGAGCCCAAGAAGCTCTCTCTGAAGGGTGCGTTTTGTCCTCCAACAAAGCTTTGAGCCCCAGCAAGCTGACGGGGGTCAGATCTCACCCTCTGTGTACCTCCCACCACGCCTGGCACAGTGCTGGACCCATGGCAGCCACTGCATGACCGAACACGGACCTTAATTGGTCCATCTGTCCACTGAGCCTGGCAGAGAAATATTGAAGTCCATGGAGTGGGGAGCATTATGGGGGGAGCAGTCACCTGGTCACTCATGGTGTCACCATCATCCTTGCTGCCATCCCCTGAGCCATCCTTCATGCCCATCTACGAGGCTCCTGCAGGCTAGATGCTTCCTCTAATACCAGTCATTCTGCCTCTTCCATGCCAGGCTGAAATGCATTTCTGAATTTTATCCTCAGTGCTCATGGCCAGCTTCTTCTCCCCGTTCCCAGGTTCTCAAGTCTTGTCCACTCCCACCAGCAGCAACTGGCTGGTTCCTTGGCTGCCTGCGAGCCTGCTTGGCATGATGGTCATTGCTGCTGCACTTCTGGTTTATTTGAGACCCTGGAGAAAAGCTGGTCAGTAACTCTTCTTAGCTTTCTTAGCTGCTGAATCCCTGTGCGAGGCCCTGCCCAGCCTTTGGAAAGCCAGAATCTGACAGGGCCAGCCACTCTCTTCTCCTGGGTGTGGAGTGGGAGGGGGGACTTCTCTTCCTGTGTCACACAAAGGGGCACATGGAAGGACAGTTAATGCTTCCAAGACGTATACACACATGCACTCGCTCACACGCCCACAGTCATCCAGAGATGCACACAAACACACAACTGCACACTCAGGCATGAATAGAACATAAACCAAGGAACTATTACAAGCCAAACATGATGTATGTCAGTATCCTTTACATTTGAAAGACAATTTGTGGCTAGGAATATGACAAAAAAAAAAAAAAGACCTCCTCCTTTCTCTCTCATTGAGCTCTGCTAAGCAGAGCTCTGATCTGCTTAGACTGGCACATAGTGGGTACTCAGTAAATTCTCATTCTAATCTAAGCAGATCGCCCCAGCAGGTTCCCAGGCTGCCCTTTCTCCTCTGTACATTCTCTAATGCTTCTAATCAAAGTCACTGAAAATAAAAAGGTAGGTTAAAATTCTGATGTAGAGGAAAACAATCAGATAAACGACATTTCAGGTTATCTATTTATTTTGATATTCCAGACTTTCTTCTTCTTCCTGTCTCAGTCGTGATCATAAGAATGAATGTTGGCTTTCAAAGCAATTAGTTTGGGTGGCCACACGTTTATTCCAACTCTAACCTTTGCTCGACTCAGGCCACATGTAAGGATTGGCTACCAGTGCCAAAGCTATCTGGTGTTGATTCATTTCTAGGGCTTCAAATCTGCCTACAGAGGTTCAACTCAACACCACTTCCTCCTCTGCAGGGGCAATGTTTTTACTTTCTGCTTGTCTGGGACAAAAGTGATTGCTCTCATAGACCTCCAAAGACAGATGTACTTATTTAAGCTTGCAGCTCCCTCTGTTGAGAAATTTGGGACGAGTTTTCCAGGAGCTAGGCCATCCTGCTAATTAAGGAAGACCACCCAGTTATACGTTCAAAGCATTCCTTCCTGCATCCACCAGGGTACCTGAAAGGGTCTCTCCCCAGCCCTAGTCCCAATACCCTGCCTCACCAGGCACCTAGTTAGGGCTTGGACCAGACTTCAACTTCCTCTCCCCTTTTGAATTTATAGTCTTTGTCCATACAACTTCCCATCTCCACCCTTCTCACTAGTCTTGAGTTTGGATTCACTACAGGCTAGAGTTGCTTTAAGTATCCCTTCTTAGTGGGGGAAAAGGAGAGGAGACCCAGAGCTATTGGGGAGACAGCTGAAGTAGGGAACCACAAACCAAAGATCTGTGAGTTCTACTGTCATTGTGTCTAATGAAGTCTCCTCCAAATGGCCTAGCCTGGCCTCAGTAATACAGGTGTTTCTGTTTCTGTCCACTCACCTCTGAGTCAAAGCATTAAAGGCAGAGTAACGGCAGAGTAATGTAGCACAACTGCCTCCCTCCCCAGCCCCAAACAAGATGGTGAAACAGTGGCCACTATTGAAAGATCCTCAAGAAGAAGATGCCTTTCACAGAGAACAAAAGAGCATCCTCTTGATGTAGAGGTTATAGACCATCACCACCACACCCACTGCCAACCTTGGAGCAGGTAGGCTTCATTTTACTAAGGAGCCTGTCTCTCATGCAAACAGGACTGCTGGTGGTGATCTTAATATGTCAGAATCTCAGGCGCACAAAATATTCTCTAGCATATTGCTCAGAAAGTCACTTTCAGGACCAATTCCATAGCTACGCAGGAAAAACAGCCAGATCAATAGCCTTATTCTCCAAATCCAGCTCTGGGAGACTCACAACCATTTCCAAATATCATAGCTGTTCTTTAACAAAGAGAAATATGCCACCACCAAACACAGTCAACAGATGTAATGTCCAAAGTCAATTTTTAGAACATTTGACCAATGATGGTGTTACTGGAACAAGGATATGGTCATGCAAGTGGTCCACTTCAAAGTAGCACTCACCTGCATGTACAGGTTCTGCTGTGCTTGTTTAAAAGCATTCCTTTGACTACCTGTTGTCACACATCCCATAAAATAAAGTTCTATCAAACTCATGGAACTCTTCATTGAATGGAGACTCAGAAACTGAGGCTCATTTCTTAGCCCTGACAAATGAGCACTGGAAAATGCTTAATCGCTGGGAATCTGTCTAAGTCTCCATAAATCCCCTCTTGATTTTACAGGAGAAGCCATTTCCACATATCCTACCCGCTGATTCTGATGCTTTCTAGCTGTTAGTGTAATGAGTATTTCTTGGGCACCAGGCATGACCCAAGTGTTCTAAAATCTACATGTGACCCAATTCCTATCTCAAGAGTTACCTTTAAAGATCTGGAAGCACCTGCTGTTCCAGAGGTAGTGTGCTAGTAGAGAAAAGGCATACAAACCTGGATTAAGATTCTGTCTCCACCACTTACTGTGACCTTATATAAGTCACCTCTCCCAGCACCAGTCACCTCATCTATGAAATGGAGATAAAAATATCAACCTTTGCAAGATGGTTGTGAAAAATATTAGATACCAAAGAATTAGGAAGAGAGGTGTTTTTGAAATCCAACTATGTGCTGGTCACTGGTTAGGTGCTTTACTAGGAAGATTATATTTTATTTGGATTTCCTGGCCCCATGTCTGGCATATAGTGTATGGTCAAAGTTATTAGCTTTTCTTCCTTCTGAAAAGCAGCTTGACTGGTAAGCCTAGGCCCTCTCCTAGGAGGAAAGCAAAAATGTGATCCATTCTTGCTCACCTTACTTTCTCCTGGTTTATGATTCCCATGGAGCCATCTAGGGTATTTTTCCAAAGGAAACATCCCAGAAAAATCAACCATGTCCAGACCTGTGAATTAGCCCTCCTAATCAAACTGGCCTCAAACCTCCAGTGGCCTCCCTGTCATTCTTGTTTACAGCTTTCCTGTCCCCTGTCCCACCTGCCCTCTAAGGGACACCCAGTGAATCATGCCTTTGTATCTCCTAGGGCCCCTTCCATCCCAGATACCTCCCCCAGCTCCAGGTGGAGAGCAGTGCCCACTATATGCCAATGGTAAGGACTTCCAGCAGGACGGTGGTCTGCCCATGTGGGCCAAGAAGAACTTCTTAAGGGAAGTAAGAAGGGAGCTTTCCTGAGCCCTGTGTCTCAGGAATTGGAGGCATCTGGGGAAGGAAAACAAACAGCTTCTAGAAAGGGCATGAGGAGAGAGTGCTATGGAGTTGGTGGTGGGAGAGAGAGGTGGGAAGGGAGCCAGGGCTGCAGGAGACAGGGCAGGGAAGGTTTGGACCAAGGGTTGGCAAACCTATGACGCATGGGCCAAACCCAGCACACTGCCTGTTTTTGTAGATAAAGTTTTACTGTAACACAGACATGCTCATTTGTTTATTTTGTTTGAGGGCTTTCATATTACAGAGTTGAATAGTTGTGACAGAGATTATACAGGTCACAAAGCCAAAAATATGTACTACCTTTTTTACAGAAAAAGTTTGTCAACCTCTGGGTTAAACAGTGTCAGGGCTAGGGAAGCTGCAAAAAAAAAAAAAAAGTGCTAAGGGGGCCTGACTCCTCTTGCCATGATAGCTATCCCCACATTAGTGACCAACCCCCATTGCCACTTATCACCATAACAGAGCCCCTGATGGGCTTCTCTCCATGTCTTCAGGACACTTATGGCAGGAGGTGGTAGAGTCAGGTGGATTCTATTTAAGCCTCATTCCTTCTTTCAGTGCATCACCAGAAAGAGAAAGATGAAGGTGTTGTCTACTTTGTGGTGCATAGAACCTCAAAGAGGAGTGAAGGTGAGTGATCTCAGACCAAACGTGGTACTTTTACGAACAGAAGTTTTGGACCTACAATGAAAGTATCACTACCACTGTCATTACCACTTTTATCATTACTGTGACCACCACCACTATCACCAAGACCATTGTATTTATCTCCATTATTGTCACCACCATCTCCTCTTTCACTACCACCTTCACCTTCACACCATCATCAATGCTACCATGACCACCACCACCTATCTCCTCCACTACCACGCTCACCACAGACACCACCATGATCACTACATTCACCATTCTCAACACCATCTCCTCCACCACTGTTACCATGATAACTGCAGGGAGTTTTTTGCCCTTTCCTGAGCAATGTGAAGGACAAAGAAAAGAGAGAAAAAATGATGTAATCTTCCTTTGCTCCAGAGTCTAAGTCTAAGCAGGACAGCCCTCACTATAAGATGGAGTCAAGAAGACTATGAGCTCCAGCCACAGCTATCAGAGTCAGGTGGCAGAGGTGGGGGAAAGGCTGGTCCTTTAACAGAGAAATAGGCCACGTGGCATCATGGGAAGAGTTTGGGTTTCTGAGTATCAGAACTGAGTTTCAAACCTGACTCTATGTACTTACTTACTGTGGACTTGGCAAGTCAGGTGTCCTCTCTGAGCCTAATCTATAAAGGGGAGACAATGCCTGCTTTGCAGGATTACTATAAGTTGTTAGGAATGGAACCTAGGTTCTAGAAACAAACCTTAAAAATTGTCTACATGTAATAGATGTTCAAAACAGGGAGTTTTGTTGTTGCTGTCGTTTTAATGTCTTATCTGCTCTGCTAGTTCAGTTCCTAGTCTGCAAAAATGGGTTTGAATTGGCATAGGGTTTCTGCTCCTTCCCATAAATGGCAGTAGGGGAAATGAACAATCAAAGAGTCTCTTAACTGAAGGGCAGTTCCCCCAGGACCTGAGGTCACACAGCTGGTGTGTAGTCCAACTGGAACTAGAACCCAGGTCTCCCCATTCCAGATTGAGGAGGAGTGAAAGGAATTTCCCCCGCTGGCTTCCCTGGCTCTCTAGAGGAAGACAACCAGCCAAGAGGGGTGGGAAGGAGATGTACTTGCTGTGAAGCACAGAGACCTGACCTGAACTCACTCTTTGCCCACAGCCAGGCCTGCTGAGTTTGCCGCGGAGAGAAAGGTGAGCTGGGATCCCTGCTCCTTTCTCACTCTCTGTCTTACATCTGCTTCCTCATCCTGAGCCAACTCTTCCACAGGACAGTCCTATCATCTATGCAGAGGTGAGATGCCTGCAGCCCAGTGAGGTTTCATCCAAGGAGGTGAATATAAGAAACACCCTCCAAGAATCCCTTGGCGACTGTGAGGAAGTTCTCTGCTAGTGACGGTGTCCTCCTATCAACACACGCCCACCCCCAGTCTCCAGTGCTCCTCAGGGGGACAGCGGGCTCCTCGACTCTTTCTGGGGCTCCTTCAATTCCCAAACCCAGCATCACAGAGCCCCTGAGCCCTTGTCCTGGTCAGGAGCACCTGAACCCTGGGTTCTCCTCTTAGCAGAAGACCAACCAATGGAATGGGAGGGGAGATACCCCCACCAACACACACACTTAGGGTCAGTCAGTGACACTGGACACAGAAGCCACAGAAATTTTATTTCCATACAAGCATGTTACTTCCCCCCGATATATATATATCTCATCCTTCAGGAAGTATCCAGAAGGAGGCCTTGTTATCATAGGAGATGACAGCTCCATGTGTGTTGTTGTCCCCGAAGACCTTCCAGTGAGACAAGATGATGTGGTGGAAGACAGTAATATTGATGATCCAGACCCTATGTAGACCTAGGTTAATGTGTGTGTTTATTTATGTCGTTTTTAACAAAAAAAGTTTAAAAATTTAAAAAAAAAATTTAAATAGAAAAAAAAATATATATATATGAAATAGTTATATGCCACATAACAGCATTTCAGTCAGTGATAGACTGCATACACAACAGCGGTCCCAGAAGATTATAATGGAGTTGAAAACTTCCTACTGCCTAGTGATATCATAGCTGCCTTAACATCATAATACAATGCATTTCTCACACGTTTGTGGGGATGCTGGTACAAATAAGCTACAGCGCTGCTAGCTATATAGAAATATAGCACATACAATTATGTACAGTACACTATACTTGATAATGATAACAAACAACTATGTTACTGGTTTATGTATTTACTATTTGCAATGGTGCCATCTCAGGTCACTGCAACCTTTGCCTCCTGGGTTCAAGTGATTCTCCTGCCACAGCCTCCCGAGTAGCTGGGATTACAGGCATGCACCACCACACCCTCCTAATTTTTGTATTTTTGGTAGATACAGGGTTTCGCTATGTTGGCCAGGCTGGTCTCAAACCCCTGACCTCAAGTGATCCACCCACCTCAGCCTCCCAAAGTACTAGGATTACAGCCATGAGCCACTGCGCCCGACCTGAAGAAAATACTTTCACGAATTTAGTGTAGTCTAAGCATACAGTGTTGATAAAGCCTGCAGTAGTGTACAGTAATGTTCTAGGCCTTCACGTTCACTCACCACTCACTCACTGACTCACCCAGAGCAATCCCAGCCCTGCAAGCTCCATTCACAGTAAATGTCCTATACAGGTATATTTTTTTTCATCTTTAATATTGTATTTTTACTGTACCTTTTCTGCGTTTAGATATGTTAACTATGAAAATACCGTTGTATCATAGCTGCCTACTATATTCAGGTTTGTAGCCTAGGAGCAATAGGCTATACCAAAAAAAGAAAATGAAAAAAAAAAAAAAAAGAAAAGAATAGGCTATACCATATAACCTAGGTGTGTAATAGGCTATACCATCTGGCTTCGTGTAAGTACACACTATGATGTTTGTACAGTGATGAAATTTCCTGACAACGCATTTCTCAGAATGCATCCCTGTCATTAAGTGACTCATGCGCGACTTGGTACGTGTGTGTGCACATGTGCTTCTATGATGGTCCTCAGTCCCTTTGAATATGCTTACCTTGACCCTGAAAAGAAAGAGCATCTGCTGCCCTTTCAGAGCACCTGGCAAGTCAGAAATGCTTCTAGATGTATTTGCATGCACTTATTTTAAAAAGAAAAAAAATGTCAAATACACTTTCTCACATTGTAATTTTGCCTTACTGTCTCGTTGCTGGCCCCTTTCTCAGTCCAAATGCCAATTGGTGGAGAGGGAAAAGAAATGAATGAAAGGGGCACTGTTGTCGAGTGGTTATGCCAGCAGGAAATATCACCAGGTTTACCCTGAAACATTGTTCTCTCAGAGGAATAGGAAAACATTTCGAATCTCTCTCTATTTTGTTCTTAAAGGTCAGTTCTTGGGATATTGACGACTACAGTCTGAGAGATGCTGCGGTGAGATTTTCAGGATTGCGTGGTCTTTGAGGCGGGTGTTTTTTTAAGACAACATTGACCACTGTTCAGCGTCCACATGATCATTGTAAGGTTGCAATGCCACATGCTAGTTGGTTACATAAGACACAATTCCAGTGATTGAAGGTGGTTATACTGTATGGTGGTGTGTTCAAGATGGCACTGGCATCCTTGAGCGGGGCCTGGCTGTGCAGCACCATTTGATTTTTTTAAACACCCTGGAGGTCTGGTGGTTGTTGTTGTTGTCCTTTCCTGTGAAAGTCACAAGAGAAGTTACAGTCCAGGTGAACCTGGAGTTTACAGAGTTGGTTTTGTTTCTGTTTTATCTTTTGCTTTGTTTTTTAAATTTACCTATAGCTGTTGATGCTATTGCCTGCATGCTATTTCTCGTGAGCGCTAAATACAGTGTGGTCCAGTGACAATAACAGCCCGTGGTACTGCCAGGACTGTCCGTGGGCTTATCAGTGAAAGCCCCATGCGGGTGGAAGAAACCTGTCATTTCCTTCTTACATGTGTTTGAAATACTAAACAAGTAATTTGTTCTTCTTAGGAAAAAATGATACAACAGTAAAAATTTTTTTAATTAAGGGTTTTATATAATGGATATGCCCCACCTCTCAAACTAAAAATAACAAAAGGAAGAGCATCACTCCACACCCCAGAGGGCTAAGCCCAGGGCGGCTCTGAATGCATTTCCAGCTTCCAAGCTGCTGCTGAGCCCATGAGTGACCGCAGGGCTGAGGAGCCTCTCAGAGGTTCAGCAAGACCAAGGTCAGCCAGAAAAGCGCCTGGCCCAGACAATGTCATAGAATCCTGACACCAGAGTCAGAGCCTCACAGGCACTGAGAGCTCTGCCTTTCCACACAGCCCCATTCCTGTTCAAATTCTTTCCAGTTTACCAAAGACAGAACTGAGGCTTGCCCAAAGCCCTGGTATGTGGAGTACATCAGAAAACTCAGTTACCCCTTACTTGTTTAAAAAGGTATATGGTTGTAGCATCTAGTTTTTTGTTAATAGAGGTCTATCAATTGGTTTCATATTGTTCATCAATATCAATGATTTGCAATACCTGATAGTTTGATTTGGTTTGTTCAAGGAGTCCTTACTCCTTGATGACTGAGGGTGGTCAATAAAGGATTGGTTGTACTTGTTCCTATGAGGCCCTGGCTCCAGTTTTATAGGCCCCTGCTCTGGAAGCAGAGAAAGTAAGGTTCAGCTTACAGATGCTGGACTGCATCAGACCCCACCCAGCTGGCTGATGAAGGAGATGTTAGTGTGATCAGGGATCTCCTGGCACCGTGGAAGCTGCAGGCATCTAGCATCTCCCCTGGACCAGCTGTGTTGACATCACCTTGGAGCTCGTTAGAAATGCAGACGCCCGAACTCAACTCTGACCTGCTGAATCAGAACCTGCATCTCAATAACATCTCCAGGCAATGTATATACCCATTAAAGTTTAAAGTTTAAAAAGCATTGGTCTACCTACAAGATATAAACTTCATCAGAGTACATTCAACCCCTCCCCATCCTCATCTTTCTCTTCCTCATCCTCCTCTTCCTCTCTCTCATAGATGTCCAGTCCATGTCCAGAATACCCCAGGGCTCCTCCCATTTGTCAATAATCAGAGACCCCCCCCTGGGAGGACTGAGAAGCACAAGCCAGGTAAATCTAGAAGCTCAAGGTTCTCACTGGTCAGTCAGGATGTACCAGCAGAAACCAAGGCCTTGCCACTTTCTCTATAAAATAATGCCCCCTTGTAAAAAGTAAAAACATAGACAAGACAGCTCATGAAGGAAAACTGATGATGGAGACTTGGGAGGAACCAGCCCTTCCAGATGTCCCCATAGTCCACCTCCTTCTTGAGTTTTCCTCTCTCTCCACCTTCCCTGCCCCACACCAGTAATACTCAATGTGTGGTCCACAGCCTCGTTCCAGTCTGTGAATTGATTTTTATTAGTCCATGACAAGTTAAGTAGAAAAACTGAAGCAAGAATTTAGAAGCTTTTAGAGCAACCTGACAAAGTAATTTTATGTTTGTTTAATACAATCATAAAAATCAGGGCTTGTATTTTGTATGTCTTCTTAATTTCATTTTTCTAGTAGTTTTATTCTATTGTCTCTACAAAAATATAGGCCTATTTCCAATGAATTGGAAATAAAAAAGAAAAACAGGTCCTTCAAGACAGACAGGTGAGAAGTCCTATCCTACACACAGACACACAGACACACACACACACAGACACACACACACACACACAGACACACACACACACACTATTGGCCTGGCCTCTCAGGCACTTTGCTCTCTGCCTAGAATACCTCTTCTCCCCACCCAGCTCTATTTGCATGGCTGAAAACATCCTTTTCCCTTTGTCTAGAAAAGAATGAGCCAGGATTTTTCCAAATGAACAATTACTAAGAAAATTGAAGAAAAATAAAATCTCAAAAAATAACATAAAGAAGAGATTTCAAAGGAGGCCCTGCCCTTCAGCCCAGATTCACTGGTTTCCCCTGATGTCAGCCCATGGAGTCCCAAAGCCCCATTTCCAGTCCTCCGTTGTCACAGCAGGAACCTGCTTCTGCTCTGCAGGACACTGGTGGGCTGGGCCATCTCCAAGAAAGAATGGGGACTTCCACCGTTCTCTAGAGACAGACCTGCAGACACTGAGAAGGGGTACCCTGGGGAGACCAGAGAGCTGCTTCTCTACTTCCCCTTTTCCATGGCCCTCCTGGCCTGCCACAGCTCCACTGGCCATGCTAGCCACAGGACTCCCAGCCAGTAGCCTCCTCACAGTCTCAAGGGTCTGCCCTGTGAAACATTGCTTCTCGCTTCAAGTCAAAGCTAAATGCAAACACTTATTCAGCCAGAGTGACTTGTCTGTGCCTCCTCTTAGGGACCTGGGTTCTGTGGGGTCTCATTACCTACAGGGTAAAAAGAGAGAAAAGAACTCTAGCTGGGT